AAATACATTCTCATATTACTCTCGTGTCTTTTCAACCGCAGTAACGACCTTTGACTTGAAAAGCTCCAACAGTTTTGCTTCTTTATTCTACTAGAAATCAAGCAAAACGAAAAATTACCTTTGTCACACATGAAAGTAGTAGTAAATGCTTAATAATTCTGACAATTATTGCATTTGTAAGGCATTTAGTTTTAGTTTGTCCTGGCAGACCATGAATTACGCAGACTGAGTCTACACTATTTTCTTGTTATTCCCTGAGAGTGTCAGAAGGTAAAAATTCGAAGTTGAAGTCTTCTAATGTTAGGTCAAGTCAAACGTGGTCTTGTTTTTGTACAGAGAGTACTTAAGGCATGCATGGACAGATCGTAAGATTCTATATTGGACTTTAATCAGTCAAAGCAGGAAACAGGACATAGACAATATTATAATTATGCCATATACGAATTTAATGCCCTTATTAATTCTTAGGTTTTTTTTTATGCTCTCTCGTCTTGCTTTAGTGGTATTTTTTTTCCTGATTTATATTTTATAGACTGAAAGTGCAAAAATGATTTTGTATACAAGATACTACATGTAATCGCGCATAGTTGATAATATTTGTACCTGGAAATAAAGGTCGGTAATATGTTATAACAAGCGCAAAATTTCTTGCGCTAATCAATCTATAGTACTACTTAATTCCATCTTATCTATGAGGTACACATTAACTGAGCACAAAGTTAAAGGAATTTCTTTTTTAAAACTTGTGGCCTAAAACAAGCTATAGATATTTATTTTTCTATTATTCATATCAAACTAGGATAAAATGAAAAGTTTAAAATTAAATTATTTTTAAGCATAGAAAGATATATTATTCCTTTTTGATAGACTAAAAAGGAAAGTGCATCATATATTAAAAGGAGCATTTTGAAAAATAAGGTAAGAAATTTATTATAGTCCGTATAAGTTAAATCCTTTTATTTATTTTTTCCTGCACTTCTTCTGTTGTAATGTATACAGAGTTCATAACAGTTTAAGCGGACATGACTTCCACCGGTAACTCTAGAACAAGTCGTTGCTACTTATCTCGAAGACAGTGCAGATTGCAACTAGTTGAAAATCATGTTAAAAGCTAAATTGAATTAAATTAATTTAATATTTTAAAATCAAAATAAAAATATTCAAAAACTATACAAAAATACAACAAAATTATAATTCTTCTTATATCAATATAGTAAAAAAAAATACAATCAAAATTCATGTAGTGACGGGAGAGTATATATGAGAAAGTTTGATATAATGATATGCTAAACCGTTAGCTAGACTACTTAATCCTGTCATCTAGTTTCAAATACTCTTTACGAAAAAAGAATTAGATTTAGGTTGAGTGGGTGCATTCATAAATAAAAGATTTTAATGGTTTTTGAATTTCTCCACAGATCTGTAAATGAATAAGATACCAAAAGAGTAACAGTTGGCAAGTCTTACGAAATAATTAATTATGTCAGGTGGAATACTGAATTTTGAGCCGTCAAAAAGTGACAGCATGTCTGCAGAGGTTAACTTAGAACATCTGGATTCTGGAGCAAACGAATGTAAGGGATGTTCCATTTGATCTGCTGCCGAAAGACATATGGTAGGAAACCTTAACTGTTGATCTTTAGAATCTCTTTCAATGAATTTATTGAGTTGGTTATATTGAAATCTACTCCAATCAATCCAACTTAATAACTTTGATATATTTCTCCCTACTCCTTGATTCATAGTACTATTTAATTACAGCATGATAGATGTTATAATGTTGAAAGTTTAACTTTTTTTTTAGTAACATAATGTCCGGGTCAAGTTGCGCGCATGCACCTCAATTATTTTATCCTGCTATATCCCACCAATAAAGGTACCAAATAACTCTGTCTACTAAAGCTTAAATAGATCGTTTTGGAACACACATTTTAAAATATTTTTTTATCTTAAACTTCGTGTTCAGTCAAAGTATATCACATAAAACATAATGGAGGGAATAGTTCTTTTTTTTTTGTTTGCCTCTATAGGTATTTTATCCCGAGATCTCATAGTTCTCTTATCGCTTCATTGACCGGGTGCTTGAAATTTGAAAGTTCAAACTCCTTATAGCATTAAACAATATCTATATCTCACTACTTTTCCCGGATCTTACTAGACTGTGTGCTATCCTCACTTGCCCTTCCAATCTTTCTGATACAAATTGTAATTTGTAAAAACTCAATAAGTCTAATTAATTAGGATAGATGTATCCCCTATATAGTTGGATTCATTATTTGTTCTCATGCTTATTCTCTGACTGTCATTCTAAGCCTTTAATTCCTCAACTACTTGTATGTATATATACTTTCATCAAGAATTATATTGTAGTTTTTTTTCCTTCTTTTGGTTCTTATTTTGGGAGGGGAAAATTTGATGAGTAAAACATAAAGAGGAAAAAAAAATTAGCATATGAGAGGGTCTCTTTCAAAAATTAATCATGAAAGAGTAATTATTGGCTTATTGCTAACTCTAACAATTCTGTTAAAACAAGTACACAAAGGGAAAGTACCAAGGATTCCACTTATACATATATATAAACTACATGTGGTCAAACCTTATTCAACTTATTCATTGCAGCTAGTAGATTTGCACATAAAGTCTCATTTATGTATCATAATAATTAAGGTCCAGTGCCAATTCACCGTAATAACGAGTGAGTAAAAGCAAACTTAATTGTTCAAAGCTGTACGACCATAGTTATGGTCAAACCCTATTCAAATGTATTTTTCACAGCAACTGGCAGAAAATTGCATGTAAAAAAATCATTAATGATACACATTGTTTAATATATATGTTTAGGATGTCCCTTGTAACAGATATTTTCATGAACACTGCTTCTGTTTATTTTGAAGCGCAATTGGATAGATAAAAGAAGTTCAAATAAAATAAAATAAGCTGCTGCAAAAGTTAGGGTACAACATAAGTCAACGATAAATATTGAAGGATACCTGACAATAGCAATCAAGATACCACAAATATTAGGAAGTGATATGCAATATCTCGTCTCTTCAATTTATGGCTAGAATTTGCATTAGAGGGAAAAAAGAAAAAAAAGAGAGAGAGGCTCTAATAATTGGAAGACCTAGAAAGCTCAATCAAGACGTTTAAACATATGATTACATGGCAGAAGGTGAGGTATATATAGTTTCAAATTCGACTTGAGCATCTAAATTTGGATCAATATATAGCGGTAAAAATATTGCCGAACAAGGTTGTAGTACCATGTTCAAGTGTGTCCAAAGAACAGCAAAGCAAACGAAGCATACCCAAAAATAAACCAATCTCTTGGACTGCTATGATAAATAGCACCAGATTTCAAAGTAGCACGATCTAATCAAAATTTTCACCAAATTGAACACATCTAGCATATTTTTTCACAATAGCAAGAGCGTTAACTATAACTAACACGGTTGAGTTCACCTCCATAGAACTCAACAAAAACACCAATTTACTATAAAGATTTACTACTACTCAGAGGCGGATGTAGTGAATAACTAACGAGTTCAACGAAACCATAACTTTCGATGCGGTGTAAAAAATTTATATGTAAAACTTCATTAAAATTACAAAATAGTGGATATGAACCCATGGGATTTAAATCCTAGATTCGCCTCTGCTGGTACTAGCACTTGAAATATGAAGTCGTTAGACATTTGGATATACTTGAGGAACAAAAAACTCATGCTCACATAATATATTTTCATGTAGTACCATAAACATCTAAACTATTGGTTTTAGTGTGTGACAATTTGTTTACTTTCTAGTTGAAGTGCATAAAGATTTCACCTTAAATATAGTTTTTTGCAATATTTCCGTGTACGTTATAATCAAAGGGCTTTTTCATTCAAATTCTTATCCAAAATTTACTTCATGTTTAGGGCTTTAATGTTTACTGTTGATTATTTAGTTGAATAAATTAATCATCAGTTTTAATATTTGATGTTTCTTCTCCTCATGAATGAAGGTTAGATTTCATGAAAAAAGCTACTCCATTTAACAATAGCAGTCGGAATTTGCATATTTATGACTTCCGTCTTTTTAAACTTGTAGATGAGTAGTAAACTAAGTTCAGTATAAATAAAAATAAATGAAGTAGAAACTACTGAATTAAAATCTCACCAGAAAATTCATCAATTACACCTAGTAAACGCATGCATTAGATATAATGAGATAAACAAGACTATAATCTTGCCAATTCTGGGTACAAGTTTGACTGGCTAATTAAGGCCATCTATTTATGAAATGATTCAAAAGAGGCATAAAACTTATGGTTGGCACTGCTCTTCTTCATTTTTTCCATCTGGGGTTGGAAGAGATTTTCTCCCAATTTATTATATATGGATTTGAATTTAATCCTGAAGTAAATTGCCGTATCCAGGAAGGTCTATGCATTCAAAATTCGAATAGTTATTCTTCCAATCAACCTGAACAACAAAGGCTAATTTATTTGTCAAAACTACAATATGCCATAATTTGGTACAAGTTTAATTGACTGGCTAATGTATTTTAAGGCCAGTATTCATGAAGTGATTCAAAGGGGCATAAACCTTCTAGGCAGCACTACTCCTCATCATTGTTCTTATGTGGGTTGGAAGAGGTTTTCTCTCCAATTTATTATATTGACTTTAATTTATTCTGAAATTAAGAGTTCATTATCCACCGAGTTTTCAACCTGCATCATTTGTTACACGAGATTTCTCTGTTATAAAATAAGAAACTGCCTTACCCTTGAGGCTCCTGTGTCAAAATGCTAGCTTTTCTAGAGCTTATTCTATTTAATTATGCAAGAAATAAATTTAGTCAGCATTTAACTATTCTATAACAAGCAAGAAATATCATGAAACTTAGAAATTAAAAAGAGCATATATATATTTTAAAATAAAGTTGTGCTATAAGGTGGCACATTCCTTTCACTCATCCAAAATAAGAAGAAAAAAAATACAGAGAGAGAACATATATAACTGGTGAATTAATCAAACAACAAATTTTATTCATAAACACATTCTCTGTCTTGTCTATACCAAGCAGAAAAATTAGGTCAAAACAGTACTAGAATTTTTCCATATTGCATAAATCAACCAAAAAAAAATTATCAAACAGGGTAAACATAGGAGATATAACACTGTAAAAAGTAACAAAAAGTTGCCTAAGTACAACTTAAGACCCAGTTGAATTTATTCCTGCCTGTGATGTCTGCAGGATAAATGTTTTTCTTGGTCCAGTGGCTGAAATTGATAACTGGAGTTTGCCAAATAAATTGAGCTAGGGTTACCTGCATATGCCATTGGTGCATATTCCCAGTTCCCAAGGAAACCCAAGAAGCAATTTCCAGAATCTAAGCCTCCTATTGCTGCTGTGGAATTTGCATAGTAATTTGAAATGAACGGATGTTCTAGAGACTGAGAACTTGCTTCAAGGGGAGAATCCTTTTCTTGATTGACACTTGTATTATTATAAGAATTGTTGTTGGAGTATTCTTGATCAAGAAAACCACTATTGCTTGATGACCCTAAATGGTCAAGAATATTAGTACCACTATTAGGGTTTGTTTCATACCATTGTTTATTGCACTTTTTGTCAAGACCTTTAATCATCATTTTCTCTTTTGTTCTTTCCCTAGCCCTTGCTCTTGCTTTGTTTCTTGACTCCCTCTTATGTGGATTATTTTGCACCATTTCACTCAATCTATCATTCATGTTTATGTCTTTTCCTCTCTCTTTCCCTTCATTATTTGAGTTCTCCTCCCATCTTGATAGTACTTCACATTCAGACATAAGAGATTCACTCTTTTGATCTTCACTACTTGAACTATTACTATTAATAATCTTGTTACCATCACTATAATCCTTTTGTGGTATGTTCTCTGAGAGCTCAGTTATGGCATTATTGGATTTGGAAAACAACCATTCTATAGTTTTACTTGCCTTATCAAAGCCTAACATGTCTTGGAGATCGAAGAACTTACGCGCTATGTGAAGTGACAATCTCACTCTCCGATCTCTCACACCTTGAGCAGTGCATATCTTGCTATGCCTATCTTTCTTCCCAGTTCTCCTTCGCGGTGGCGTTGCACTGAGATTTCTCTTCTTTGATGATGTTTTAGCTGCCTCAATAGACATTTCCTCCTTTGAAGCCTCACAAGAAATATTATGAGTAAAATTGCTCTCTTTGACATGGTGATGATCACCAGCCTCTTGATCTTGGTGATGCTGATGAGACAATATTTGGTTCAAGGGCAACTCGTTATTGTGATCATCAAGAAATGGAGAAGGGAAATTCAAGAAAGATGCAAGATCTTCTTGCCTTGAACTTGAACTAGGGTTTTGATGATGATTATATGTAAAAGACTTTTCAAGTAATGCTTTTGAGGTGTAGGGATTAAAGGGTTCTTGGCTGTTGCCTGAAGGAAACATTTGTAGAGTTTTGTCAAAAGAAAACCCCAGAAAAAGTAATGGCTAAATTAGGTTAAATTGTTCAGCTTATAATGGAAAGTGTTGCTTTATTTTCTATCTTGAACATGTGCAAGTAGGAAAGGTTGAGGGGAAGGAAGGATAGGGCTTGACTATAGCTATGATCAAGAAGACAAGATAGCGGTGGTGGTGGTTGGAAGGATAAAATATAGATTCTGCAGACCATGGAAAATTAGAAAAGTAAAGGTATCTATTTATATTCGAATCTCACTCTGTCTTTCAAATAGTAATATTTTGTACAATCACTCTGATTTAGTCCATCTCTCAAATTTATGTGACACTGCCTTTTTAGTCTATCTCTCAAATAATGACATTTATTTATATTTACACAACATCTAACTTGAAACTTCTCATTTTAACATTAGTAACATGATTTATATATAGTATAATTATCTACCACTTGTTTTAAATCAAATTAAAGTTTTCAAGTCTTTTTTTCTTTCAAAAAATTTGTGTTCGGTCAAACACTCTCCTATAAATTAGGACCGAGGGAGAATTAATTTATTACAACAATCTAGCCAATTTAAAACGCTTTAGTATTTCAAACTCTGACATGATCTTTTTTATCAAACTAATTAAGTACTCCTTCTGTCTCAACTTAAAGGCATAAATTGAAGGGCGCGGCATTTAAGGAAATAATATAGACTTTTAGAATTTATGCTTTTAAAATTTATATTTTTAAATATATCATAATATTTGTATGGATATAAAAAATTTAAATTTATAATTTTAAATATGTCATAACATTTTATGTGATCGTAAGAGCTTGTTAATTATTAAGGATAAAATAAGGAGTTCAAGGTAAATTATTTTCATATATAAAAATGTGTCTTTTTTCAGAACGAACTAATTACTAAGGAAATCTCATGATTTTTTTCTTTTTATTTTTTGAATGTAGGGAATACCTTTAACCATTGCGTACTTGTTATGGTGTTCAAGCAAGGATGCCTGTGCCTCACTATTTCACTTGATACATATTACCACCTACAACTACAAATAACTTTGCTTACCAAAATATAAGAATATGAGAAGAAATTACTTCACCTTTAGACTTTAGCTACGAGATTTGCACACTGCTCTCACATGACTTTCACAAGCTTCGTTAGCCTTCACTTCCATCATTTTTTCATTATATAAACTACAATTAAAATGAATATGGAGTAAATAAAGTCTAGTCAAATACAGTTAGTATAAAATAAAATCACAGTACATGTTTTGGAATAGATGATAAGAGACAAAATAGAATGTGACAGTACTGTCACCGGGAGCAGGTGAGAGAGATTGATAGCAGTCAGACTTAGAGGGAGGTGGAGCTACGGAGCGTGGGAAGAAAAACTCATCATATATTATATCAATTCAATAAATGTATATTATATGTTCTAATATATAATTTTATTGATAAATTATAATTAATTAATATATATTATAATCTTTATTTTTGACTTAAAAACTCCATATGTCTCCATTTATGTGATATTTTTCACTTTTTCATATTCAAACATCCTAGTTTTTTATTGTATATTTGGACACAAAATCTTTAATTTTTTCATAATAAAATGTACTATATATTTAGAACTATGAAAAAAGTTCTATAAGTAACAATTTAAAATATATAAAAATTATAGTCAAAGAATAATTTATTTGACTTTTGAAATCTGAATACTATTACATGGGACAAAAGGGAGTACTATAATTTGATATATAAATATTTAATGTGAGTAGATTTTTATTAAAAAAATGTTGAGCTAAGAGAAGGCAAGGAAATGGGTGATTATTTTTTGTGGAGTGGTGGAGGGAGGTCTATGAAAGTGTTTTAAAAGGGGTAGGTATTGGCCAAAGCCTATAGCTATGAAAACCTAAAGAGAAGGACAATTATTTCAAGCAATATTAAAATTGCTTTACTACCCATTAAAACTTGAAGGCCATGCTCCCTTTGACTGGCTGTCTGTCTGTGTATCATTTTCAATTCTAAAGTTTGCAAACCCCACCTCCCTTCTTAATTTCTTCCTGCCTTTAGATCACTAGCACACAGACTAATCAAATCAATCAAAAACGTTTCAGTTGTAAGATACTCCCTCCGTTCCATTATATAAAGAAGACATTCTTATATATATATATATATATATATATATATATATATATTATTTCGTGCGAGATAAAATATAAATATGAATATATGTATGTATGTAGTGTTTGATTGGACAGAATTTCAGAAAGGAAAAAATATTTGAAACTTGTAATGTAAAACAAGATATATATATATTTGTGTAGTTATAATCATCTCATTGTGGTAAAATAAAAAATTAAAAATTAATTTTTTTAAATATATATATATATACTAAAAAGAAAAGTGTTACTCATAAAATAAAACAAATGGAGACATGGAGTATATAAATTCATGCATAACTTTTAGAGAGTATTACTAGACACTACGTATAGTGCTGCTCGATTATTTTCTTATATGTGACCAATTAAATAATATTGTATTATCTTATGTGAAGTTTTATCTTGGGATTAATTGCTCTAATGCACAACCAAATGGCCCCTTGAATTGAGAAATGAGGAGTGAAATATTTTTTAATTACGATTATCTATTGGTTAACCATCAATGCCTATACTATTATGCACAGTATAGATAACTACTATCTATACTATATTAAAAGCACGAAAGCCCTTGGCGAAATGTCGTTCTTCTTTTTTACCCTTTTAAAATATAGTTCACATTGGACAAAATAGTCATTAGATCATTCTCCTAATATTTAGAAATGATTATTTAATTATTTTTCTAATATATAGGAGCATTTACTTAATTAGGAGTATTCATTTAATTATTTTCCTTATATTTAGAATTTACTTTTTTTAATTCTAGAATTCTGTACTTTTCGATCCAAACTAGGAAAGTTTCATCCACTTTATAAGGTTTTGTTTTATTAATAAAAATTTTAAAATTTCAACTNGTTCGTCTTTTTTACCCTTTTAAAATATAGTTCACATTGGACAAAATAGTCATTAGATCATTCTCCTAATATTTAGAAATAATTATTTAATTATTTTTCTAATATATAGGAGCATTTACTTAATTAGGAGTATTCATTTAATTATTTTCCTTATATTTAGAATTTACTTTTTTTAATTCTAGAATTCTGTACTTTTCGATCCAAACTAGGAAAGTTTCATCCACTTTATAAGGTTTTGTTTTATTAATAAAAATTTTAAAATTTCAACTCCACTCAGATTAGGAGTACTATATTAAAGAGAAAAAAATATTTTAAAAAAAGGATTGAAAGAAAACATGTGAAAGATCTCATGCATGTCAACAACGATGGAATTTTGTTCTTGTTTCCGGCTTTTGTTTCA